AAGTAATTTTCATTTAAATCTGGAAATTAGCTATGGGAAATAGATACGTATACTCTAAGAAGTGTAGCTGTGACAAAAGCACAGATTTTTTTTGATTTCACTTCATGTTTAGGAAACAACACGTTAGCCGTAAGCGTTGTAATGTCGGGTAATGAAAGCGGCGTTAAATATTTTCTTTTTCTTTATTGTTAGCTTGTTTCAGAGGCTTTTACGAGTAAATTGTAATAAAAATGGCAACAGGAAAGTGGGGTCCCAGGCCCGGAGTCTTTATTTATAGCTGAGCTCTCCCGGAGACTGTTATCTCTGTAATAATATTCGTCAAACACGCGTTCGCTGCGTATGAAATGCGAAGAAATGTACATTAAAATTACATGTAAAAATAAACATGAAACAAAAGGAGCAAACAAAGGGTTATATAAGATTTTCTTTGGTGCGCTTTTTCATTCTCATCGATTACACTAATACATTGAACTCGACTTGAAAGTAACGCAGAAATAAATACCACGTCAATATTAAAAGTCTGGTGCTAGTCTCGAAGTCTGTGTAAATATAAATTTGATCTCCTACTTTTTAAGTAGCATATAAAGATTGACGTGAAGGGGTACACTAGTATAGAAAGGCTTAGGAAGTGATAAATTTACTCGGTAATAGATGAAATGATCAAGAAAGGAGTGACGACCAAGATGACGGAAAATAGATTGATATGGAGGATAAAAACTTGGTGCGCCGTTCCCACGTAAGTAGGATAAGAACAAAGAGATAATGCAAAGACCAATGTAGTAAAATTTGTCAATGTAATAAAAATTGTCAAAAGTAAATATTACGTATTGTCTATTCCAAATCATGTTATATAGGTCTACAAAAAATTATAAGAGAACTCTTAAGTTATAAAGTAAAAACGATGGAAGAACCATAGTGTATCAACTTAATAATAAAACTCAATCTAATTTTTACATTCCTGTAGCATTTTAAATAGGTGCGTGAAACGAATTCATTTACTTTCATTATCTATTTCATTTAAGTCTGAAATAAGAGTTATAAATATTTGTATAGACAGTCAAGAAATCACTTAACATCAGGTGAACAAGTGAGAGCAATAACCATTAGCGAAGCTCGTCAACACCCACGCGCTGACTTCGCCTTCGCAAGATTTTCTTGTTTTATAAAAGGCATTTATAAAGACAGGATGGGATCAACGATTCATACCTTTCTAGGATTATTTATGCTTTAAGTATTTTAATTAGAGGCTCATTTACAAAATTAAACGGGTGTATTTTAAAAATATCTTATTAGAATTAAAGAACATTAATTAAAGGATTGTCTACGAAAAGATCTATTCAAAGAATATTAAATAATTTGCGTCTACTTATTTTGTAATATGTTCTATATGTTTCTTTTTCCTTCAACGGGCGCAGTTTTACGCGAACACGTTTCCTGAACAACGGGCAACTGAATTCTTATCTTATCTTTGCGAGCACACAATTTTATGTTGTGTTGTGCAATAAACATTAAATACACGGTGTAATTGGTAAATACAATTTATAGCCTTGTATTAGATATTTGTGTAAATATTATCGATATTATTACACAAAAACAAAATATTTTTATTTCAGAAAATATTGAAATAAGGAGAATGGACGTAGCACACGGTTTTCTTTCAATATCATTGAATTGGAAAGGAAGCCAACGATTTATATAGGGGAAAGTATTTTCAAAATAAACGAAATAAATAAAATCTAAACTTATTGGGAACCGATAAGAAGAAAGTCTAATTAGAAATAAAAAGCAAAACATGTAAGAATGTAACTACAGACTACTAATGTAACGATTGAAAGAAATCTTTGCCACCACACGAACACGTTTTCTCCATTATACTGTAGTAGCTTAATGCCTCTGAAAGCCAAGGGTGGTAAATGGTAATGCCAAGACGTAATTCTGACACAGCTTGGGCGAAGCAGTGAATAATTGATTCGGTATCAGTTCTATCGTTTAATTCATAGATTAATGTTAGTCGCAATGGTTTTGGTGGGACTTGGGTAGAATCAGTAATTTTTATATTGTAGAAGTTTTCTCGACCGCTGTTAGCCTGATATTGATGAAGTAAATGAAGCATGTTGTTTTTTTTGGGGTAAAAACCTGATAGAAGTGTGTACGATATCTGGAAAAGCAACTCACGCGTCGCGTCTGGTTCGCTCGTCCCAAAATTTGTCCCAGAAAGTTGATCTGTTTTTAATCCTGAGCACGCTGGTGCTGAGGGTGCGCGGCAGCGTACCGCCGCTACTGCTGGCCGACACACCGGTCGACATGCTGTGCTCTGAGGCCGAGCTCTTCGCAATGAACGTGGCGCCCCCGCCGGCGCATAGCCGGTCCGACTGAGAACCCGAGCGCTGCATTGTCATCTCACTCACCCACCTAACTATGCACTACATTATTTGCCCCATGTCACTCCCAATTGACTGATCTATCTCCGCACCATTATCAGATAACGCTCCCTATACCATCTCCCCATCTGATGTCCCAGGTTGATTTAATTACCTACTAACCTAACACGGTAACGATTAGGCGTGCAAACTGGATTTTGGGTGTAAATTATCTTTTTATTTAATTAACGACCGAACTGTGAGATAATAGTGTAATGCGAGCTTATACATTTATCACACGCGCGTTATCGGCGCCAGAGCAACTAGTGTTCTGAACGCGGCAATAATAAACACAAGCTTACAATCGATAGTACGTAGCTTACAAACGAGGAAATAAACTTTTAGGCCGCGATCGTCCGTCGACACTAAGATTCTATCGGAACTTGGGCTAGAGCAAGTGAACGACCTCGGTGGTTCAATCTTTACACGTAACGTGCGTTTGTAATATTATTATTGATACATTCCCGCACTGCGTATCACAAGTGATATTGGCGTGCGTGATCTCGCGTTAGGAAAGTGCGGGGCTTATTTGTGCCCGCTCGAAGGTTTGAGGGCGTCCGTACGTGCGGTAGCGTGCCGCCGGCGCGGCTGGCGGACTCTCAATGAGGAGGACCGGCGGCGAGGAACGGCGCGGGGGAGGCACAGGGACGGAGAGGGGCGACGTCGCACTCGCCCGGCGCGCGGCTCCGCCCGAGGATAAATTTGGCGCTAATGGAAACTGGCGGTGGGCGCCGGTAATCAATGTTCGACGTGGAAATCGAGGGTCGCGGTAGCATTATACTACGCGACTCGGTTCCAGGTGAAAGTGGCGCGACAAACATTAACTAGCTCCTGGCATTGTTTTGGCTTTAATGACTAGATTTCCTGCATCGATCCATGACGTGTGCCGTGAGGTCGCAGCACGAAACTCGCTCTACGTGACACAAAGAGAATGTTTTGACAAAAATACGCATGAAGGACTTTATTGAATCGACAAATAAATAAAAGTGTTCTATTTATCAATTACTTATCGATAACTAGGAACTCACATTCTGATATAACTACTTTTAAGTAATGATTTGAAATTAGCTTTTAGTCATTTTTTTTTTACAAAATATTAATAGAAAAATATCCATATACGTTTTCAGTAAACTTAACTACTAATTAAAATCACTTTTTATTTGGTTCATCGTTATGAGATTGATTGTATTACTAAAGTACAAAAAAGGAACGACAGTCGGAGAGCCCGAGTTGATTTAATGGACTTCGGTCCTAGGTAAACTGTAATGGGATAATTCAATTACGCTTTCACGTAATCCTTTGAAGATGTTTATTTTATCTCAACAATGTGCTCACATTGTTCAAACTAAGGCAGTACTAGTATTATGTATTATACTTATATTCGGAGAAATAATTAATTAAAAGAAACTTACAAACGAGTTAAACAAATTATTTGTTACTCTATTTACGTATGTTATTTAAACACTAAAAATGGATAATATAATTTAATTAGCAAGGATTACGATCCTTTTGTACTAGAAATATCTTTCTCATGTCACGTAACATGGGCGTGGTGAGCTTAAATTACAAGAAGGCTCCAGTCGGCTTATGTTGACTACTGTCTGCTAAACTTTTGCAATAAAATAGAGAAAATGTACGGTTTCAGATCTTCCAACTGAAACTGTAGGGGCTTTTATGTTTCATTATCGATATAACAACTGTTAGATTCCTTGAGAAACGTCTTTGATTAGTATAAGATTCAATTTTTATGAAGAAAACAAAAAGTTTTTTGCTTAAATGTAGATTCTATAAGATTCTATAATTAGGTTCAAAAAATACTATTGTTTTTTATGTATTTTTAATTTAATTTTTATTCAAAGGGTTTTGATATCTTTATTTTAAAATAAAAGATGTGATTGTGTGTCACTTTTGGAGAACTTGTAACAACGAGTACTTTATGCAAGTAATTAATTTAATGAAAACGTTTTTGTAGAAAAGATTTAGTTGTGAGTAGATAATAAAATATCGTAAGGAAAAATTATATTCATCGACATAAAAGATGTATGAATATGAAATTATTAGGACGTGCGTAGAACAAAGAAAAACTTAAACAAGAAGTTATGAAAAACCAAGAGTAGATAAATATTAGTGACTATACTGCACTAAGGTTTTAGTTTTTAAACAATTTGTAATTCAAAATAAAACAAAATTTGTTTAATTTAGCACTATAAAGCCTATTACAAAAAATATTTAATCATAAAAACTATTATTAAAGAGTGAACTATGGTTTATTTCTTTGTTTCTCTATCATGAACGAAGCAGAGGCGAATTGCCACTAAGGTACATGTAAATGACCAAATCTGATGGCATTTCTACACTTCAATTTTACGACCATTAGAATGATAAAAATAAACCTGTAAAACTCACCTTTTTACATAAGATTAGATATAGTTGGCGACATTACCATGGAAAGCATAAAAGTATGAGAACATAAGATATACATGAAACTAAAATAGAAAGAGTTAAGGGACAACGAGCGGAGCGATATGTCTACACAAAGCCCATGCAATATGCTTGCATGCGTGTTATCCTAGTACATACGCTCTGTCCAGTTGTGCAGCTTCAGCCTCCTTGAATCTGCAAGCAATTAAAAAATATGGAAAAGAAAGATAGAACGGAGGAAACAATTATTCTCACCTAAGCATTCGCAATAACGTTAAAACCTATCATCCAACAAAACTGGTAAATATTAAATTCTGAAAGAAAGAAACACGAAGATTTCGGTTTGGAATTTGTAATATGATTTCAGATCAAAGAGAAAACCGTTCTATTAAGCATTGCGTTTACCATTTTGTTGGATATGAGGTTTAATGCGGGGTTCGGCTTCACATCAATTTATATTGTGCTAGAGTAGTGTGTCGCAGGCTTTGTTGTGACAGTGGGAAATACAGCGTGAAGAGTTAGGTCGCATCAACGTCCAGCCGCTCACTTTACTCGGGACTACCACAAGTACTGTCAGCATACACAAGACAACACAATTTAGGATTCAATCATCACATAGATCGCATGCTTACACCTGACAATGTATACTGTGTGAGTAAGCTCTACTTAGATGTTAGTCGACACAACATTTATTAGGATATGCAATATTTTAGAACCAGCTTACTTTGTCCCTGTCCAAAGCGGTGTCTTGTTATTGTGACCTGCGTATTTTGGTGCGTCGTGTAACTAAATACATTTTCACTGTGTCTAAAATTGTGTACAGCGTGGTAGTCTATTATTCAAAAATTATACGAAGAGTAAGTATTTAATGAAGCCTATAATATAATATAATCGAACACTGTCCATTATCCACCTAAAGATTAAATAAATTCATATCTAATAAAATGTATTAATTGATTTTTAATAGTAAACTTCATAAACTTAATAGGAGGATATAAAATTCCATCTCGAAAACTTAATACTATTCGAAATAATGATGCCAATGATTCCAGTATAATCATTCTTTGCATTGGAACATTCAAGAATATTCTACAAAGTATTTACGTTTATTTGTAATTATTTTGTACAGTAAGAGCGTAATTAAAACATCACGTTACGATGAGTCAGTTGAAAAGCATTTAAAGAACCTTTAATTGCTGTGTTGTTTTTATCAGGTATTGTCGTTTAATTAAAAGTTATCAATGTACATATATCAATTAAATATTCTTTAACTTTGAATGAGACAATTACGTGTAAGTATTAACTTATAACGTTTGTTTGGATTAGATAAAATAATGGGTAAAACTTTACTTATTCTTTTTATGTTTTCGGCTAAGATAAGTAGATACGATTAGTACATATGCGTTAAGAATTCAGATAATCATAGTAAACGAAAAAAAGCAAGTTATTCGTTAAATCTACAAATACCTAACAAATTAAAATCATTGTTTATAAAAAAATAAGAGATACATTTTCCATCGTGATACCTATGAAGGTAAAACATAACAGAAGTGTTTAGTTAGTCAAGAAAGATAAGTAGTGTGTAAATTTTCATAAATGTAATTTTCCTGTTGATTGTTAAGAGACTCTGCGTAGCACAGACTTTTTATCATCCGATAGTTTAGTCGTGCGTTTGATCAGTCTGAACATGTAAGCTTGTATAAATTACACCGAATTTATCTTATATGATTGAAACTATCAGCCGACATAAATGTCGGTGTTCTGCGGGTGATCTAAATATTCAATATCATGGTAAAAGTTGTCCGTATTGTTGAGAGACCGGAGAAGTAATAAAAGCTTTTTGAAAGTAGAACGACCCAAGGCATTAATGCAATTCTTTCCTAGTCGTTTAATATTTAACACTTTTTAAAATGTTCTGTCTTTCAATCATCAGTTAATTTTTTAAGTCTCATAAAAGGAGTATAAATTTATTCTCAAATATTTTTTAGGTAAATTGAGACAAGAAATTTTGCACATTCTATTAAGCAAACCGTAGTAGCATTTATTTTCAAGTAAAATCAATAGGAGAAGGTTAAATTTACATTAGAATCGATTGCTCTCTAGCAATTTGGATAAGGACTTCTGAAAACTGGAGGCTTAACTAATAAATTTTATTGTATACCTTTGATTGTTTTAGGAATAATGAAGTTTACGCGGTCTATGTAAATTATTCATCTAAATTCAATTGAATTACACTTGATAAAATAATTTTGCTAAGATAACCGAAACTTATTTTGTTAATTTTAAGGTGTTAATCGTAACATCTGACAATTTCATTGGTTAATACTGTAATATCAAATGAATACAAAATATAGACCGACAAGGATATATGTTCCGGTGGACATAAGTCAATCTAAATGTTGTCAAAAAGTGTCATAAAGTCCTTTTTTATGTCTATGTAGGTTTTATATTTTTCTATAGAAACAACCGCGATAGCAGCGCCTTCAAACAAGAGTAGAATAAAGACATTATCATCTCTTTTATTGACTTTGAAAAACAGAGACGTTCTTGTAAAGCAAATGAAGTCTGACGACTAGACTCTTCCATTGTTAGAAGTGGTCAATGTTTAATTTAATAACATCTATTTCACCCGAGAGTTGAATTTAAATAGAAATATAACTATTGTTTTGAATACAATGAAACTTTACAGACATAAAAGTGTTACAAGAAAAGTTATGAACTCAAGTATTTCCAATAATGCCAATTCTTTTTGATATCGAATTAATTCATGTAACGTTACAAACATGACTGATATGACTTTTATCATTAATAATGTATTAATTTCTAGACGATTCGAGAAAATGTTTTACAATACTTTCTATCGTAAAATATCGAAGATGTTTTTATAAATAACATTTACAAGGTAGACGTTTTGATATAATTATATACTGTCTTGTTGTTTTGTTATTGACATTAATAGAATTAGATTAAAAATTTGCTGCCGATTATAATATTTTAAGAATATCGATAGTGTCGTTACGTAATTAAAATGCCAAGTAGCAAATTAGGTACCTACTTGATAAAAATCATTTCCTTTTCATTCGTTAAAATACCGAAACAGCTAAAGTTTTGAATTTCATTCTTAGTTTCAAGAATAAACCATTTTATAGCTTTCTAGTGTATTTTGTTGAACGTCAAATGCAGTGTGTGTACAGTGGTGTAGTCATAAACGCTCGGCTGCAGTGTTAACCAGTCATCAATTCAAAGAGAATTCAAGAGCAAAGTCGTGATCATTTAAGCTTTTACTGCGGAACGTTTACTTAAAATAAATAATCTGGTTTCAATTTCGAAAATTATTGATCCAGTCCGTTATTACAAAGCTTTATATTATTGCATAATTGTGATTTACGTTAATTTTGATTCTGCAATTGTATTCCGAATACCCAAGTCGTTGTCGAGAAAATAGTTTGATTTGGGCCGTTCAGCCCACCGATCCTTCCACCCGACGGTACCTTTTTCATATTGGTGTGATCTATCCCCTTGCAGATTTAACCAATTAATAACTATTATGTTTTCGTGTCAGGTTTAATTTATATTCTTGATATGATGTCAATCTACGAGCTTCCAAAAATGTACCTATGTTAAAATTAACGCAATAAGAAAATACCTGTAGACATGAAGATTGTATAATTTGTGTGTGTTGGTAGTACTACATGAATCTCACTGCGCACTTACCTTTCGCTGGCGATGGAGCTATTCCTGGACATCGACTTCGGCGACATCTCGAAGTCGGAGTCAGATCGGTAGAGGAAGGACTCGCGGCGTTGCGGCATCGCCTGCAGCACCAGGGCGGCGGAGGGCGAGCCTCCCTCCAGTGGGGAGCGCGCGCCCCCCGCGCCGCCAGCTGCCCCGCCATTTTCGACGTCGAAGCTGCAACAAAACACGAAGGAATCAATCATAGAGCATGGGAAATGCAAAGATCATTTAATTACCAAAAAAGGCTACTCTTAATAACGCATGTTACGTTTATAAGCGGGTTGTAAGTTAAGTAATAACTTAGTCGACCCATTTGCCTTATGACCTCTCATTTATATTTATAAATGAAGTAAATTCAAAGAATATTCAAAAGTAGGTCAATCATAACTAACATGATTTGCTCCTAACAGTTGATAACAACTTAAGTTAAAAAACTTATGACAAGCTTTCGCAAGTTGCGTTACCTGTAATTTTTTGTAGCTGAAAGTCGAAACCGTTTTATATCATTCGACAAAACATATTTCAATCCATTTTATTAAAAATAAATGTGAAAGATATTCGTGTAGTTATCATAATTTTTTTTAAATATGTTTCCCACTGAATCTTATTTACGTTTCTATACTGAACTGTTAAGTGTAAACACGAAGGCATTTGTAACAGATAAGAGTGCTTACAGAAGTAACATTATCGATATCAATAGATAAGTATCAATTTATTTAATCTTTTGCTACTGCATTACAGTGCTTATTTCTTATTCTGTACTCGATTCATTTATCAAAGACCTAGTAACAGTTAACTTTATTACTTTATGATTAGCAACGAAGATTTGTCGATACTTGTACAGTATATTATCTATGGTCAGTACATATTTAGTATAAACAAATTAATTAAAAGAAAAAAGTTATTACATTACTTTCAATTTTCAAATTTCAACGTTTTTTATAGTCGTTAAAATTTCATAATAATTGGTTTTATGACTACCACTATATTATAAAATAAAAAAAAGAAGTCTAATTTTGATTGTAGATTTTCATTTTAACTATGTTATTTTTCTTATACAGTAATTTAAAAAAAAGTTTAACACGTGTTGTTTTGTTTTCTGTCTAATAACATTTAAAATAATCAAAAATATTTAAAACCGTTCATTTTATTGCAATAAAAAACTGAAACGTTTTGAAATAAGTACGACAGCGACATCTATTTTCCTGAACACATTAATAACAGTCTCACAAGTCCGTGAAACATTTCAACCAGAACTTCACAATAACTTCCATTACTGCCGCAAGAGGTCGCTATTTCAAGTATTTTATTATTGGATTTAAATAATAGTAATAAAGTATGCTGTATAACATTAATAACATAAAATAAGTAAAGAGTGGAATGTTTTAAATATTAACCAAATAATAGTATATTCACTGAGTAGTTAATTAGATAAATTTAGTTAGTTAATAGGCTAAATACTTTGGATGTCACAACACTAACATAACTTGCAACGTATCTGAGAGAAACTTTACCCGCCTTATCTGGCACACTATTCACAATTTGTGACATTTTCACCAAAATACGTTAGTTTACTTTATTGGAGTAGCAATCTAAAGGTCTATTGCAGGCATTAGCAAAGAAATCTGTAATTCGGGCGAGAGGACGCGACATAATCCGATAATCGCATTAGAAACCAGCTGATGGACTGACTTCGATTGGTTCCCACTATCTTTTTGCAGGCGTGAAGAACAATTACTACACCGAGATCGGATTAACGATATCTTTAGATTATTTGTCAAGGTTTTTTTTATAAATTAGATGTAGGAATTGTTAAAAAGACCTTTCGTTCTATTCAGGAGAAGTACTTTCTGTTTTACGTTTTATAAATTAAAAGTAAAAAAATAATAAGCCAGACACTACCTAGATTTACTTATAACTTAACATACTTTACATAACATACAATTACCATGGAATAAGTTAAAGCAACGACGAGAAATGATATAGGAAGCAACTTACAAAGAAACAATTTAAAAGCCTGTCAACTAAGTAAAAAAGATCCATGTAATATTCTCTTTATTATAAGAAACTGTAGTTTTCTCTTTGAAATCGTGGAAAGCAATAAAGTAAAAGACGGATATGTACATATATGTAATTAAAAACAGGAGTTCTTAATTAGATAAAACCTCGGGTCAAACGTGAATGAAGTTTCCACAGGCATTTGTTTGGTTTGGATTGGTAATGTTATCTTACTAATATTATAAATGCGAAAGTTTAGATGGATGGATGGATGTTTGTTAGAGTTTGTAGCCTAATCTCTCGAGATCTCGATGAAATTTGGCACAGACATAGAGGATAGCCTGGAAGAGCACATAGGCTACTCATTTTGGTTTTTTTAATTCCATGCGGACGGAGTCGCGGGCGAAAGGTAGTGTAAAATATAAAAGTTTTTTAAGAAAACGAAATAAGTCTAGGTCCAGGACAATATATAGCATTTTGAAAATGTAAACTATTTCTACGCCCAGCAAAGGATAAGAAGGTATGTTAATTATGTGTTCATGGAAGTAACTAAACGTTACTCTATCTAAGATTACTTTAAGTTTAATTTTCGTATATTGATGCGACAATACCAACCCAAAATGGCCGCCTTAAAATACTCTGAATGGAGATTTACTGGTGTGTACGTGGGCGTCGTCTGTGCTGAGATTGCCAATCGGCCTGCCAACCGATTCGATGACGTTCAATACAAACTTTACACAGTCTGAAATTGAATTCTAATTTTTAGTAGTTAGTTTGAATTCTAATTGTCTGTTCGCTAATCATTTTTGTATTTAGATACAGCGATTGATTTTTTGGTATTTATTCTATATATCTAAAACCGTATATTTTTGAAAAACTTTACAAAAAGTTTGTCATATTTATAGAGGTAAACTCCTAATAATTTCATTTAGGATTTGAATGTTAGCAAGCGGAGTTATCTATACTAATATTATAAAGTGGAAAGATCTGTATTTGTTAATGTATTGAAATTATTCAAAACCTACCGAGCCGATTTCAAAAAATCTTTCCTCATTAAAAAACGACGTTATCAGTGAGTAACATAGCCTAAATTTTTATTGTTTTTTTTTTAATTGCACGCGGACGAAGTCGTGAGCGACAACTAGTAGGTAATAATACTTCTAACAGTTTTATGTATAACATTGATAGATTCGCGATGTAAATTACATAATAAATGTTTCCGAAGTGATTGAGAAATGAGATAACGCATCCATCTCTTCTATTTTAAGAAGCGCCCTCGTGATACGCCTACCGCGTATAAATCTGCATTAATCTGTCGACGATTGAGTTACTCTGGTATTCGCGTGATATTAATGTGATAAATATGATTGTTAACAGTACCTATACGAGTATACTAGATTCTTGGTTGGACACTCAGGTAACGTATTACAAAAGAATATTGTTTTTTACATTTATTTCGTACGATAGAATAATGTGTAAGATAGCTAATAACAGGACTAGTGTGATAATGTTTCCATGAATCTATATAACACAAAGATCATCACATTCGCCGAAGAATCACATGAAACAAAAAGAACGTTAATTATGAGTGTGGAGGGTACACCGGTAGAGGTACACCTAGAAAGAGCTGAATAAATTGCGAGAGAGGTGACAAGATCAAGAAGGGACGACTGACGACGGATGATAAAATTATTTGGACGAAAACCCGGTGAGCTGAACCTACGGGAGTAGCATAAGGTAGGGAAGATGATGATCAGCACATTTGCCTGCCAACACATTAAAGCCACGGCCTGGCCTGGCGAGTTCAACTTAATACCAATATCGGAGCATTGAACATTAAATTAAATATACCTGAAGACTGTCACTGAATACAGATTTACAAGGTGGTTGAAATTTTCTTCATGTGATTCGTGTACCTGCCAGTTGTCCGTCTTCTCGCGGAAACAGGTGGTCTTCTCAACGGCCGCCGCGACGCCCCCCGCGCACTCCATCGTCTCGGAGCTTCACTCCACCTGAATAGTCCACCCAACGCTCCACATCAGACCACCACTCCAGTCAGATCAATATAGTTTAAAAACGTCGCGCGTGTCGCAAACATGTAATGAATTTCGATTTCCAACGTTTCTCAAATGAAAGATTAAACGCTGTTTTTTAATCGCAGCGAGTAAATTGACACATGCAAATGTCAAATTTTAAAATAATATCAGCATTTGTCAACATTTTCTGTCCAGTGTTGTACCTACGATATCGGTTTTTATTAACCGTAACTTTCATCTCTATTAGACGCTTAAATAAATTTTAAAAGCACTCAATTTTAGTATTTTAGTGAAGAATGCATAAACAAAATGAATGAAGACCTATGAATAATTTTATCGTTACAATTAGCTACCAGTAATAAAATATATTTTGCAATTTTACTTAGTTTTATGTATATGGTTAATTTTAATTTTCACAATTACTTATTAAGTAAAAAGCATTGATTTTATTACGTTTTTACGATAGTGGCACATGTCGGTACATATCTATTTAGAAGCTCTATAAGCCGGCAACACTCGAAATGTCAATTTACTCCCTGAGATTAAAAAATAGACGGTAGATATAAATAATTAATTCTTATATTATTCAACCCATTATTTCAAGTAACTGTGACAAATGCAAATTAATTAAACGATCGCATTGTTAAGATAAAAATAAAACGAAAACAACACAGTTATCTTTTACCGTAAGCCGAACGGATTCCACGCGTGTTTTTTTATCAGCACTCATAAATCAGTTGGCATTATATGTATTAGCATACGTTTACTTTGCCACTTCTTGGCTTTCGTATACGAGAGTTGTGTAGCCAGACGGCAAGGCGACATCCGGTCGCTGGCCTTTGATGAATAATGGCGGGTTTCTAGGGTGCGTGATTCTGCGGACCGGTAGGCACGCACCGAGCACTAATGTTACCCTACTTGCGGTTATCGTGGCGGAGGGTTAACTGCCATGAAAACTCATCTTAAGAGCCAAAATATGCTTTGTTATACATTGACTAACGTAATCCGTCATTAGTTGTTATGTTTTTAACAGTATCTACATTAACTTATTTAATTTTATATTAAAAAAAATGTTAAACAAAAAATACTTTAATAACACAAGGGGAATACTCATTCTTGTTTTTAGGTACATCCATAACC